CCGAAAACCGAAGAATCCGCGAAACCGTGTAAAAATCGAAACACACGAAAAACCACGCGGTACATAAAAAACCATAGGCGTTTTCACGACAACGTTAATTTACAGAAGCGACCCACGCCCGGCAAAAAAAACATGACTAACGGCAAAGAAGATCGCAGTTCATGCACGGCCGTTTTAAGTTTTAAATTATACCCCATGCACCGGCTCCCCCCCCCACCAGCCCGCTGTAATAGGAAATAGGTGTTTGTTTCAGTAGAGAGTTCCCGTGCAAGAACCACGGAATGGAACGTCACGTGATGACATTGGAATGGAACTCAGACGACAACTAAAAATAGATCTAAAGATAGCCGCAGAGTGTAGCTTCTGAGGCGGTGCGGGTGCGGCAAAGGGAAGATTTAACTGTAAATTTTTGGGGAAAAAAAGAAGAAGTCTATTAACTGCAAATAACCCCCTAAAGTAAGTGTGTAAATGATCATGTAGTTGTCCATGAAACTCTCGTTTCCTCATATCCCCAACCTATACGCACACCCACCTGCCCTCCCCACCACACCCCACCCTCCCCCGCACACACACACCACCATCCCCACCACACACCCTCCACACACCCTTTCCACACACCTTCCACACACCCTTTCCACACACCTTCCACACACCCTCCACACACCCCACCACACACCCTTTCCACACACACCCCACTCTCCCCACCACACACCCTTTCCATACACCCCAGCCGTCCCCACCACGCACCCTGCCCCGCACACCCCACCCTCCCCCGCCACACTTGACACACGCACGTTGACTGGGAGCTAAATTTCTCCCTCGTCCACACCCCTACACCCTCCTCATCTATACTGTAGACCTTAACTGGATGCTTCTCTCCCATTACTCAGTTGAGTCATAAAATTTTCCCCTTCTCTAGGAATTCGTTCATGATACGGCGTTGCATACATCTCCTGATCTCGTGATGAATTGCTACGTACGTACAAAGTGATTCACCAAGATGATTATACACGCATGCGCAAAGCGCGTATGTCAACAGACGGCTATAGCTGAGCACGTACATCATACACGTGATCAGAGCCGGACTGGGAAAATCATTCAGGCCGGGAAATATATACCGCGTTCACACGGTAATGGTTTGGCTCGAGCTAAATCGGCTAAATTTGGCTCAGGCTAAATTTGGCTCGGGCCGGTTTGAGTCGGAGCGTTCACACGTACGCAAGTGAATACTGTCAAATTCAAATTCAAATTCAAAGAAATGTTATTGCACAAATATCTCACAGATACTTTGGCAGTATGTCGCGAGATGGCGGTGCATGTGTACGATTCAACTGGTTACTTCCGTTCCGAGTTCAATTAGCAATCTTGAAAACATGCATCCTGATCAAATTTTTCGAATTTTTATACCGTTTTGGACTTTATTTCGTTGAAGTACACGTTCGACACTCGCGGCATCTACCGCTGTACCGATTTAGCTGGTGCTAAAATTTGGCTCGTGCTTGGTCAGACGTTTTCGATGGGACCAAATTAGCTTGTGCTAACTCGACACGGACCCGAAAACCCGTCCGTGTGAACGCTCGGCACGAGCCAAATTTGGCGCGGGCCTAATTAGGCTCGGGCTAAAAACGTCCGTGTGAATTAACGCGCCTATAGCGCGAAATATAGCTCCAGTCAGGCCACTTTTAAGTGACGTCACTCCGCCGCCACCTATAATAATATGGCCTGCCGGCCGCAGATTTATTAAAAAAAAATTATTTCAAATTTCAAATAAATTAGCAGGCCAGGCCACCGGGAAAACTCCCGGTGCTCCCGATCGCCAGTCCGACCCTGCACGTGATATACGTATAATATATGGTATACGTGCTCTGGCTATATCCGCCGATAGGTTGCCAGAGGGAGCCACTAGAGCCCACGTGGCACCTGCATGGTGCAGATATTTGAGATAGGCGGTTTCCATCTATCCATGGACTAGAAATACAAATAGTAGACTAAAATAAATTCCCTGTGTTCTTAGTTTCTAAGCAATATTTCCCCCGCGGCGCGATTTCTTTTCATTGAAGCATACTTGCATGATCTTTCAATGGTCAATCTTTTGTCTCAACTGTCTCGCCTCAACTCCCTCGTCTCAACTTCCTTGTCTCAGCTCTCTCGTCTCAACTCGTTTGACTCAATTCTTCTACATTAACTGCCTCATCTGATCTCCCTCGTCTGGGTACGATCAGCCTACTTGTGCTAGACCACCCATTGACCACGGGCCCTCATCCCAACTCCCCTTCTCGACTCATGACTCTCAACTCTCTCGTCTCAACTGTATCGTCTTAACTCGCTTGTCTCAACTCTGCCATCTCAACTCATTCGCTTTCGTACGATCAGCTGGACTGACTATGCTCAAGCCGGACCACCCACCGCAGACCAGAGACACGGGTCACTGCCGTCACTCCTTGACTGCACAGAATGAATAGCAACAGTGATTGTTAGTGGGAGCGGTAGGCCTACTGGCGAGGTCACATTGTCCTGCGATGGTGATTAGCACATTCTCTCGATGCCCAAGGGCCAGCGGTCAACTGAGGACAGTCTGACCGCTTGACCTCGTGCGCGTGACGTCACGCGGGTGGATGATGACGTGGCGCGCGGTCGACTAGGTTTATTTAAAAAAAGATGTGCTGACGTCATAGTAAACTGCTAAGTTTGAGAAATTTTTTTTTTGTAAGTTGTTAGCCCTACACGATGCGATTTCGTTGCGCATACGCCATAGCTTTACGATGTTTACTAAGAGGCGTGGCTGTAGGAAGGGGTAGTTTGCCACAGGGGGGGGGGGGCAGAATACCATGCGTATATAGAAGAGGCTCGCAACTGTAGCCTTGCACTATTTTTTCTCTGGAAAAGTCCCTTTTTTTCTATTTTTTTAGGCGTGACTGTAACATCGCGCCATGGTAGCCTGGTAAACATCACATCTTCCGATGATCTTCCCTCCTACACACACACACACACGCACTGCGCATGCGCGTAGGCCGCATGGGAAGTTTATGATGAGGCGTGACTGTAACACTGCCGCTGTAGCATTGTAACCCTCCTCCCCATGACAAATGTCCCCCACCCCAGATCGCGCATGTATTGCAGGGCGTATGGCGCATTGCGCATGAGCGTAGGGATTTGACATGAGTAATGTAGAAGGGGGACATTTGCCAGCCATAGGGGGGATTATATCAAGAGCTAATAATACCTACTATATGTCATGCTACTACGCTTACGTTAGTTCACTGCTACGCCATGGCATTGTGATGACCACGATATAATCCTCGTAAAATCATAATATAACCTTAGCATGCAAAAAGCGAGCTCACAGAAGGGGAGGGAAGGAGGCAATCAAGTGTGAACCAAAACAACAGGTGAAATTTAATTGTAGTTTTTTTTTCTGGATACACGCACCTGGAAGCTTTATATGCTGCATAGATTCCGAATTAGCACAGCTCTGAAGCGGGTATGGGTATAGATATTATCAAGAGTAGATAATAAACGATCTTCTCTTGATAGATCTCCTTGATAGGAGATCTCCTCCTAGGAGATAGAGGATATCTCCTATTATCTACTCTTGATATTATCAATTAAGAGCTAGTAAATACGTATTTATTATGCGTATTTATTATGCGTATTTATTATGCGTATTTATAATGCGTATTTATTATGCGTATTTATAATGCGTATTTATTATGCGTATTTATAATGCGTATTTATAATGCGTATTTATTAGCTCTTGATATTATCAGGAGTAGATAACAGATAGGAGTAGATAGGAGTAGATAGCAGGATAGAGGTCTATTATCTACTCCTGATATTATATATGTTAAGAGTATAAGTGTATATAGGTATTCAGTTTTATAACTTTATAGCTCGATGGAATCGAGTGGTAAGCTCGTTGAACCACACGGGCTAGTGGTAGCAAACCTCCGAGTGATGAAACCATTAGACTTTCTTCTCAACCTTTATTGCACCCTTCACTGTCGTGCAGAACATTTCCTGCTGTTTTCAATACTGTAAATGTTTACGGACGCGCGTGGTTTCTTTTTTCTAGGAAGGAATTTCTCCTAGTGATTTATTTAAAGGAGTTTATTATGCTGTTTGCTAGAAGGTATTCTCTATTGCGTGTACCCAGGGGCACGTCTGGGTGGTTAGAATGGCGTTTATCGCAACTAGTTTTCTTAAAACCCAGTTCGTTATGCAAGAAAGTAATTATATGTTTTTCTTTAAACCACGGAGCCGTTTCAGACGATTTTACTTGTAACATTCGTCACGGTCGCAACTTTGCGTTGCTACTGATCAACGGAGCTCCGTGAAAAAGTGAGTAATAATGCAAAAAGGTTAAAAGTCTTCCAAATAAACGCGCGGGAGCATTGAGGAACATATGATCGACGGATCCGGTGATATATGATTTAAATAAGGAAGAAGATGGATGACATACGATATTCTTCACACATCAGCAGGTTTAGTTTGCTGTTTTCTACAGTATTTATACGATACGAACTCAACTCGATCTGGTTGGTATTTTAACACTTTATCCCTCTATCGGCGACAGGAAAATTTTATAATAGGAATAAATAACAGGGAATTACATTAATAACAGCAATAATAATAACATTATTATTATTATCATCATCATCATCATTATTATTATTATTATGACTATTGGTATAAGTAGTAGTAGCAGTAGTAGTCGTAGCATTTATTATTATTAAATTCCTCATTAAAATTATAGTAAAAGAAGACTCCTAATAAAATTTGAACACTATTATTCCTATTATTCCCTATTATTTTTACTCCCGATTAAATCCTACACGCATACATGTGGTATAAGATAACGTGGTGTGGGATATTACAGACGTATACATTTGTTACACATACAACACTGTCATTCCTATTATATATCTTGACTCCCGATCAAAGAACGTAGAACGACATCACATAGAAACGTGGATAGAGATGACGAGCTATCGATCACTCACGTAGATGGTAGCTCCATAGGGGGAGACTGTCTAGTTGATTCGTGTTGCCGGCGTTCTCTCGTATGTAGTAGAGAAACGCATCGTCGGTGGGAGCAAACACCGTGTACGTGTAGGAGGGCTCCGACAGTTGTGCGGCGAGGAACTTCTGGGCATACTCGCGAAACTGTAATGAGAATATAGTAGTATTATAGTAGTAACTGTAATGAGAATATAGTAGTATTATAGTAGTAACTGTAATGAGAATATAGTAGTATTATAGTAGTAACTGT